CTCTTGCGCGCTTCCGACGCTCGACTGTCCCCCCACCATGCGGACGATGCTGAGAATACCCAGGATTGTGTACGAGCTGCACTAACAGACTCTCTTTTGCACCGGATCGCGCCTTCGCCTTTTCGCAATGTACCTGCAGATAGGGCTTCCAGCTTTCTTTCTTTGCTCTTTTTCGCCGTTGAATCCGTGGTAATATGGGACCGGGTGATGCTGGTTCTGTTATCACTCGTGTGCATGTCCTAACGCGTGCGGCGGAAATACGATGGGTTGCTAGCTAGTGATCGGCGCTCCTCACCTGACGACCGTTGAAACAGCGTATACATGTCTCATTTGTGGCCCCCAGTGCACAATAGGAGGCGGTTTGGTTTCTTTTCACATCGTCGGTGCCGACGAAATGGTGGTCACCCAGCTTCGGATGCGCCAATCCCCGATAAGGCCCCAGTTCTTGGCACTATATCGAGAGGCAAGTTCAATCTCATCCGACGTTGATGTTGTTAGTTGGGCTCACCACTGTCGCCATTACAATCAAATAGCAACCACAGCAGCGACAGTTGCCATGGACACTGGAAAAACGACTAATCGGTTTAACTCCGACTCGAGTAGTCTCTGCTGCTCGGTACATGACGGTCTCCATCAGGACGTCACCTTCTGGTAAAAAAATCACGCTTCGTGGAGGAGAACACGGTACAGCCCGAAACCCTCTGACTCGCGCTTCCCGGATACCTTTCTTGCCTGTTGCAACGGACGAACCTTGCCGCGCAGAGCATAACAAGTTTCTAACTCAAGCTAAGGCAACCAATTTTTGTAGGCTGTCATTGATCGGATACTCTAGGTCGGCAATCGTACCTCAATACACCTCACCTGCCAAAAAATAAATCATCAGAAGAATCTGCCACAATCATCGTGTATGATTCTTGCCTCCGAGTCGACTGAAACGTGTACGTGCCATAGAAAGCAGTCGATATCTGGGTACGTTATTATCACTGCTAGCGCAAATCCTATTGTATACTGGTAGGCGACACAGGCGAAGCAGTTTCACCATCTTTGCCAAGCCCTTTTGTCGATGAACTGGACAACCTTGGGTATATTGTACAAATGGACACACGTACTTGGGGAGGGAATGACATGGCACTTTCACCTCATCGGTCACATTGATCCTTCTTCTTGTCTTGATGTGACACATTGCTCTTCAAACACATTCGCATGTCACCTATAAGGTATTGGGTGCTGCGCACGTAAATTGACAATGCTTGAAATGCCATGCAATAAGGTTGTGTGCATTCTTGCACAAAAGTGATCAAACTGTTCTTTAGATCGTAAACACTGCTGACCAAAGTCGATTTGCTTAAGCTTATATTTACTCTTGCATGATCCGATTGTAATGCTTCAGATGAGTCTACTATTCTGACTTCTCGGAAAGGAGTCTTTGCCAGACTGAGTGCACGTCATCTCGGTTAGTTCTATGCCCCAAAGCGAGCATATATTTGCTTACGTGGCACTGAGAAAAGTTTGCTACGCTATGCGCGACGCGTTGCCGACCAAATACTTTGGAGTATACAGTACCTCCAAGAAGGTACTGGATGACATAAACTGGGTGCATCCGAATCACAGTATCCACCATATTACATTTTCACTGCGACCATCAATCTGAAGCATCTGTGAAAGTAGTTTTGTCATCATGCATTACTTTGCTTTCCACGGCCGTACTGACGTTTACTTGGAAGCTCCTTGGCAACTTTTCCTGAGACCTTATGATTATAACGTGATTGTCGAACTTTGCACTACATCGGTCCGACAAGCATGTGCCCAACATTTGCGGATAGCTGCAAATGAAATCGCAAGGCTATGTTAGCGAGTCCAGTGTCTTATTACCACGAGGCTGGTCTTATGGCTTAAGATGACGCATGCGATTACAGATACTTACTAAGCAAAAGAAATGGTCGGCAATGCGCCCTCTAACTTTGCTGGACAAAACGATAAGCTGATTCGCAAGCGGTACTGATTGATGTGCGGGAAGTCTGTCTTTGTCCGTCCATACCACCGCCGAAAGAGTATGTCAAGGTGCGTAGAGTAGTCAAACAACGCAGTGCTCAAAATGAAGTTGTCGTTTGGTGTTTAAGCGCTAATGTCAAAACTACACCAGCAGGACGGTACTGAAAAAAACTTGCACACATACATCCCTGAAGCATCCATGGCAGCCGGCGTCGTTACTATCTACAACGCCACTGGCTCCTGGATGGTACTCGTCTGATCGACACTACCGTCGTCGTAAGCACCAACACCAAAAGTACCAGTCGCAACTGCAAGCTTCCCCGCTGTGCGCACCTTAATCGCACGGATCTGCGTCTTCAAGTTGCTGATCTTTGTCAACACGGTGTCTCCTGAAATGCTGGAGAGCGTCCCGCTTTTTGTAAGCACGTTCGGCACGCAACTACGGCCGAGTTTAGCCTGACAGTCGACACCGGCATTCGGCGCCAAAAAGCTTCCTTTCGTGCTATGTGCGATCGGTGTTTTGACAGAGTCAAAGTAGTTGCCTTCCGCTAGGACGATTGCACCCGTAGTTGTATCGAAGGCGTGGTCTGAGTTGTCTTCGAAGTAGTTGTTGGCGGCATGAAGGAAAACAGCATCTGTTTCGCTGCCTCCGACCTTTGGTGAGCGCCCTGAAATCTGATGCAGATAGTTTCCCAACAGACTCATCTCCGTGTGTTTACCCAGAAACAAGAAGCCCCAGTAGTGCCGCCCGTCACAAGACGTAGAGTACTTGGTGCGACCATCAAAGTCGGAGTTGCTGATCGTGACACCTGTCGCGCCAGAAAAATTTATCACGATCATCTGACGTCCGATGTTTGACACCTTGATGTGGTCGAGCCAAATACCCTTCGGAGCGACATCCGTTAAGGCTCCTCGGATTGTGATGGCATCACCGCCCCATATGACGTGCGGGTTCAAGTTCGTAATGTGGATATTCTGAAAGATGACATTGCTGCCACTAATGATGAGACCCTTGCCGTTCAGCACACCTTTCATGCCATCGCCTACTAGCGTCTTGTTGCTACCAACAAGAAGTGGGGTGTTCGCTGCGTTATCGTACGTGACGCTCACTTTTGAGCCATCACACTTGCTAAAGCTTGGCTGAATGGCGTCTTGCCCCCGGAAGCCGCTCTTCTTCGCAATACAGTTGAGGTTGTGCATCGGGCGGCAACCCTCCTCCGTCGTGGACCCCTCGGTCTTGACAAAGTTGAACGCTTGTTTGAGAACAATGACTCGCGGCTGCTCATCACTCAGGAAGGCTTTGAGATCCCTGATGCTGGTCGGATACACAGGTGCAGCATTGCCTCCTCCCGTTGTGCCGAAAGCAAATCCGCGCGGCGTACCAGTGACCACAGAAGCAGCATGGGTGAGACAGCTTTGTAGCGACGCGAGAGCGAACACCAGAGAGATGACGATGCGTGCTGGTCGAGTATGAGACAGCATATCCTCGGAGTGGTTGTAGACACTTGAGAGGACGAGAGGAAGTTTGCAAATGAGGTATGGAGAGATTGCATCTGCGTCGTTAGCTCGCTGCTTCTTTCCTACACCCCAGCCATGGAATTTGTTGACAGTACAGTTGGCATGGGCAGGGTGATCATCATCCGATTGGTTGAATGCTCTATATCTTTCACATGACTCTGGATCCGTGTGTAGTCAGAGTTGCGTCGCATCCCTGATGTCTGCCCCAACAGATGGCACACGCATACGATCATAAGTACAACTCATGCGCGCATACTTTAGAGCTTATTTAGTATAAGGCATAACATCTGGAATCGTAGAACTGCTTTGTGATCAGCTGCGTACTTCACACTCGCGTTTTTACCCAGAACTCTGCTCCCTATGGTATAGGAAATGACCTTTGACAACAGATTGAAAAAACATCCGGTCAGTTGCGGCTGAAGATTTAAGGTTGCGCAGGATTAGTCGCCTGTTCGTTACGTGTTTTGCGTTTGTGGTAGAGAGAAAATGCACTTCATCTTCGATTGGTGTACAATATTGCCCAGCGGTAATAAATAGTGCTTAATTGTAACGACTACTTTCTGCTTTCCTACAATGTTAGAAACAAGGGTACTCTAGCGCAAGGATGTAATTTTAAGGCAGGATGCTTATTTTGCGGTTGACACGCAGTCAAAAATCCGAAATCGCAGCGCTTCCGTCAGCAAGGGCTAGGCCCAGTATCCATTTTTGTAACCCGAGGAAGTCCCGCAAAAAAGATTGTGTCATCGTATGTATGCTCGGTACATTTGACTTCAATGTTCATCAATAGTTGCTTCGCCGCATGATTTTCTGTCATCAATCACGCTGTCGAGCAGCTGGAGTAACTCTCTCTTTGTCAACATTGGGGTGCTCGCTTCAACCGCTTTGCTTCCCTTTTCCGCAGCTCAATCTAAACTCAATCATCCTCGCAATCATTGCTGCTGTATGTATGCTGGGACGTGTTACATGTTGGAAAAACTTGACGCAAAGGAGAAACGAAGCCATCTTGATCAAATCGACTCAGTCATAATCGAGCGGTAGATCCATTGATATGCATTCAAGTTGACTTCAGCTCCTAGAATTCTTGCGTCAAATGTGACAATTCATCAATGCGTCCTTATGCCGCAATATGTGGTATAGGGCAGAATCTGCCCCATACCAGTAGTAATGCGCAAAGTGGCGATTACTAACGTGTATGCAGAATTCAGTAGGCTTTGAGTAACATTTGGAGTTTGCGGACCAAGGAACTAAATATATTCTTTTTTCATTTTACCATCAAGTGTCCAGCAATCTGCCACTTTTCATCAGGTAACGATTACAAGCTTCTCCTTCTGAACTAAAGACTCCGACTACGCCTTCGATATGGACGCCGCTTTAAACCCGACCGCCCGCATCAACAAGATTAGAGGGAAAAACTTTCACACGTTGAAGATCAAGATGCGGATGGTGCCAAGGGAGCGCGATCTGTGGGAAGTGACAGTGAAGAGATCAAGATGGAGCACTGTAACAATGCGATGGACCATGCGACGCTGATAAGGAATTCGTGCAAGGCAATGGCTATCTCCTGTCTCGCAATGGACGTTTCGTCGTTGCCCCTGGCTCAATCGGCAAGTGGCACGTATGATGCACGGTCAAGATTGATTGGACTCTTCGAAAAGAAGATCCTGGCGAACAAGCTCTTTCTTCGTCGACGCTTCTTCACGACGATGATGGACGAATGTTATGATGTGATGGAGCACATCAACAAGACCAAGACTCTGGTAGAGCAACTCGATGCAGTTGGCGCTCCGGTCAGCAAGGAAGATCTAAGGATTATGCTTCTCTGTGGACTGAGCGAGTCGTACTAGTTTTTGATCACAACCGTGGAGTCCCGTACGGACTTGATGTCGTTGGAACTCGTGAAGTCTCGGCTGATGCATGAAGACATGAAGGGAAAGGAAAAGGTGGTGGTGTTAATGGAACCACGCATTTTCAGGGTCAAGCGTTCATTACAAGCGAACACAACAAGCGCAAAGGAGGGCGGCTGTGCAGAAGGCCAGTGCGTGCCACTACTGTGGTGAGCAAGGACATCTGATTATCAAGTGTTCTGTGAGGATTCGCAAAAATGCGTAGCGGCAGAGGTCTCAGTTCACGCAAGTCAAAGATTAATCTGGCGACGACTACTTTTTGGCTGATGGGGTGAGTACCAAGCCATGTTGAGCATGGCTGTTCGACTCAGGTGCGACGCAGTACATGACGTACATTGAAGAGTACATGATGAACTACAAGATGATCTCACCGGTGGACGTACATCTTGCAGACGACGGCTTGGTGCAAAGAGTGAGAATGGGATGTATCGTCATGTCAATGAAATCCCCGCATGAGATCGATAAGGGCGTGCTACTGCCATATGGCATATCCCCGAGTTGACACGTGTGATAAAGCCAATCGAAATTGGGTCCAAAAGCCTAGGCGATTCATCTAAGTACGAGGTGGTTTTGGCTGAATCGCTCATGGGATGATATCCAGCTATTTGAATGTTACCGTTGGAAGAACCCTAAGGGCTCAACCCCATCTCATCCGCACGGTCCCGGACAGTAGAAATGCAAAAAAAACGCGATTAGGGGACCGCGACCCGGGGACCGCGATCCGAGAACCGCGATCTGAGGACCGCGATCAAGGGACCGATAGTAGGGGACCGCGATTAGAAAACCTCGATCAAGGGACTGCTAACAAGATAACGCGATCTAGCGTGGGCCACGTGATATAGAAGGAATGCAAACCCATTTGGCACGGTGAGGACACGTGGCGGTCAATCCTGACATACGGAGTAGGCGTGGTTATACGTTTTGGGTTTTTGTGGGGTAACCTATAAGAGAGTTCAATTTGCTTCTGAACACATACGCGTCTTTCTTCTTCCAGTTTGGATATGTTGGCATCCCGACGTCAAAGAGCTTCAACACCAAGGGCAGGAAGATCACTCCTGACGCTATTTGGCCAGGAGTGCAAGGACTCTCAACACACCTCAACTGCGATCGGACGCAGGCAACCTTACTGGTTGAAGTACAAGATCGCGAGACGGCTCAAGTGGTCAGAAGGCTCGCGACTTAAGTACCCCATTTTTTGGCAAAAGGCGATTAAGGCGGATCACGGCAACTCTGGGAGAGCGCCAACCAAGAACACGCGATCGGGTGAGAAATTTCCTTTCGATCGACACCAGTGTCTACAATTGTCACGTCCAGCATCGAGTCAAGTCCACCTAGAAGAGTACAACCCGCCCTACCGATGGGTGCACAACATGAGGAGGAAACAAGGTCAAGCGGAATCGGAGTACTCCCTCGTTATTCGGTAGTCTGAACGCCATTGGAGATTCGGGTCGCCTCATAATTTAAGCGAAACCCGCTCCACCACACATGCAACCTGTTTTCTGTTGGACGCTTAACGAAAGACGTTGGCTCCGTCACATTTGAAAGTGACGGGCGTTTTTCACAAGTGAAGAGTTTGAAGTGGCAGCAAGGTACGCATATGGGAAAAGGCTTGTTTAAGTTGTGCATAAACCTGATCATGCCAGATGAGGAAAACGCGTCAAGCTAAAATAGCTGTTGATGTACACCACTTCGTTTCTTTGGCATCTTCGACTTGGTCACATTAACTATGGCGGTCTTCATGCCATTTCCAAGAAGGGCTACGGCGAAGGCATCAACATTACGTAGGTGCAGCATTGGTGAATGTGTGAAGGATGTGCTCTTGGCAATCAAACTTGGGTGAGCTTTATTCCAAGGTATCCAGATCTTGCAGAGATCAAACTTGGGTGAGCTTTATGCCAAGGTCTCCAGATTTTGCCAAAAAGCTGGCAGATGATATGTGCAGTGATGTCTGCGGTCCAACGCAGACAGCAACCTTTGGCGATAGCAGGTACTTTGTCACCTTCATTGACAATTTCTCAAACTGGTGTGTGGTTTACATGCTAAGGAAATAGTTAAAGTGGTTGCCAAGTTTTCGATTTAGGCGCATTTGCTGAGACACAGACCAGCAACCGCGACGAGCTACTTCGCAGTGACAATGACGGTGAGTACAAACTGCATGAATTGACCAAGATTTGCAGAGATTGTGGCATCGTACAGATATCCACGCCACTTTACACACCTTGACTCAACAGAGTAGGAAAAAGGACGAGTAAGACTTTGGTGGAATGCGCTCGATGCACGTTAAAGCATGCCGGTTTTCCAAGGAGCATTGGGAACAAGCCTTCCTAACTGGAACGTTTTTCCGCAACTGATGCCCGACGCGTGCCACCTAGTGAATAATTAACAACACCAAGTCTGGTCAGGCAATGAGCCACCTCTTGAGACCCTCAAGGTTTTCAGGTGCCACGCGCATGTGACAGTCCCGAAGCAGAAACGCAACACGTTTGATGCACAGACAGTGCATCAAACGTGGTGGTCGCTTTTTAGGACACATGGAGCACGAGAAAGCGTATCGTTTTTCAATAAACCAAGAGCCGTCAAGTTCTGGTAAGTCGCGGCACAACCTTCATGTAAGACGACTTCGACAGTGAAAGAAAACAAGAACAAGAAGAATTGGTCGTGGACATTCAAGAAGTAATTAACACGGACCAAGAAGAGCAATCCGGACCTAATGAGCATGAAGATGAAGAATGCATTGCACGGAAAAAAAGATTTTAAGCCCGGCAGTAAGCGACACTCGCAAAAGCATCCACTGAGGAAAGCAGTGAAGATTCCGATTTCCAGCGTCAGAGCCAAAGGATATTGTTTAGAGACGTGTCAGCGGTCGCAAAAGGCGGGAACAATGTTAGGGCGGCCTACGTTGTGATATAGTGAAATAAATGCCGATGGCGTTCAATTCGGCAATGAAATGCTTCAACTAGGCCAGGAAGAAGGAAGCGTGCGGCTCGAAAATAAAGTCTGTTTGCAAAAACAAGACATCACAGCTGGTACATTTATCCAAGATTAGGTTAACGATCGGCTGCAGATAGGATTTTTGGGTAAAGTGGAATCAGTCCGGCAAGATAGAGAGGTTCAAAGCGCGCCTTGTGGTCCAGGGATGCTCACAGTAGTACGGCATTGACTGCGAGGAAAATTTCACACCAGTCGCCAAGTTAAGTGGTTATGGTTGTGCTTAGTCAGGCTGCCAAGTGCAATCTTTCCGTACACCAGATCAATGTTAAGACCGCGTTCCTGAAAGGCGAGTTGGATGAAGACATCTACACGGTCCAACCAGACGGCTGCATCGAAGAAGAACACGCTCACCTTGTTTGAAATCTGCAGCGGTCACTGTACGGACTAAAGCAATCGCCTTGGATGTGGAACAATACCATCGACGAGGTTATGCTCAAGATCGGGTATTATGAAGTGCGAGTCTGATCACTCCATATACTTCAAGCGCAATGACCAAAACATGATCTTCGTGGCGATCTACGTTGAAGACCAATAATTGTTAGCATCAGCATGATGCTCCATGAAGTCAAGTGTGCACTGAGTGAGCGGTTCGAGATGACAGACATGGTTCTGATCAAGTATTTTCTTGCAATCGAGATTGACCAGGACTATTCGAGTGGGAAGGTTAAATTGCGACTGAACAAATTGGCTAAAGCCATTATACAGGATGTTGGCATGCTGCATAGCAACCCAGTAATATTATCACAGGAACCAAAACTCAAGTTATTAAGGCCTTGTGCGAAGGAGGCGGGAAGCACAAAGAAACGATGACAAGCTTGCTCTACTGGAACACCGTTGGATGTATCATGTACCTAATGGTAGGTAGTTGTCCTGATCTTGCAGCTGCAGTGGGAGTAATCAGCCATTTTTCCGCCGACCCGTGTGCAATACACTGGCAAGCACTACCAATAGTTATTCTGTAACGGGGCACCCAATGTGTGGGGTGCCGCGAAACTTCACGTACACTTGTACGTGCAGAGGAAGCTGGTCTACTCAGACAGCTAGTTTGAGTGAAAGGCAAAAGAGAACAGTATTTAGTATAGTTAAGCTATCAATATAACTTCAGCCTTTACATAACTACATTAACCTACATTGTCGTATGACGACAACCTGCTCTGCACTCTTTACGCGCGTCTAGCAGCGATTGGTGGTAACCATGGTTGGTGTGTCTTTATCAACCAATGTTATGCAGCACGTGAATAGTATCCTGAAAGGGGATAATATTGGTACGGAATCGTCAAAGCTAGACAATCTCCCTATTGACACCGTTTGGTGTCAATACACGTAACGGGCGACCCCGTTACAGAGTGCGATTCTCACTGAAGTTAGGCGGGCCCAGTCGATATTGGTTGCGACGTGGTAGCTTTGGCTGCACACCTTGCGTGTAAGCGTGTTTTTTGTAATAGTTTCTGCAGCATGTAGACCGATCACATCGATGATAATCAAGCATATTTTGATGCTACTGTCTGCAACCCCGTCAATTATGTACACTCTGATTAGTCACGTTGTTACACTCCACCATCGCAACAAATACAAATCGCAAACATGTTGCCGGATATAAAACAGGGGTGACGAGTATACCACGCAACGAGACACTCTCAGATTCCGTCATCTTCTTTACAAGAGCGTGGACGTCCACATCTCTTCTGGTTTGCTCATAGAATTCCTTTTATCGTCAAGAGCAAAGTGGCCTTGTATTGTTTGAGTTCAATCAACAAGGTCTACAAAAGATCTTCGCTTCACGCCTGTGTCCTGTCCAGCACAGAAGCAGATGCGGGGTATGTCAGTCATGCTTACTGTGTAGTCATGGAAGCTTCGTCCGGGCTTCCAAAAGACGTCGAAGAGAGATGTGAGCTTGCTTATACCTGGATGGAACTATCTGAAGGCTCGTTGCGTACAGGTCGATCTCAGCCATTTTAACGTACTTCGTAATGGCTATTCTTGGAATTTCCACATAGCTTTACTACGTCGCCGGTGCGAAGACTAACGGTCATTTGAGTCGCATCTATGTCTTGACAGTGCTCAGACAAGCAAGAAATGCTGTGTGCAACTAAACGATGCAGCTTTTCTCGATCCATATGCAAGATACTACTGTTTTATAATGCAAAGCTTGTCTATGTAGAACACGAGCACGGACTACCTCTTGTAGTGCCTTCACTCAATTTAGTTGTAGGTTATTCGCAATATCATTAAGAACTTAAGTATCGCCATCGTCTACAAGCTCGCAGAAAAAAAAGGTCCCGGTACATTTTAAACCCGGCTTACTACACATATGGACATCAATTTTCAGCTTCAGATCCTGGCGAGGAGCTTTCTCTCTGTGGAATTGCTGTAGCCACGACATTCACCGCCTGCACTTCGCAGCAAACGAATTTGTGCGATGATACGGTGATGAAGAAAATTGCTTCTGACTACGGACTCCGTTATCAACTGGAGTCTTACCGACAAAGTGTTTACTGACACAGTGGCTAGCGAAACAAACAACAAAGTCGAGTTCATCATCCCAACCTGGACTTTATCTCGCATCGGTGATCTTTGTCTTTTATTTGCGAAGTAGTTGTCGGATGTTAACTACCGAGTATCGAGAGGATGAGAAGAGAGGTCGCTGAAGGAGTTACATCGGTATCTACAACTGCCCATACAAAAGCGTCGAAATATGAGATGCAAAAACCAGCTACTGCGACACCAAGCCATCCTGTCTGGATACAGGAACAGACATGAATAACTTCGATCTATATTTTCCCAATTGCAACTTTCTCGACCGCCCCGAGTGTCATTCTGTACAACTTCTAGCTGCCTCGGCGATCGAAACAGACGAACAAACACTGGTCTTCAGCTTCAGCTAATCGATGGCCTGAAAAGTCAGCAACACGGGCTTGGGCACGTTGCGTAAGTGCATTGTCGACCGCTCGAACCCGAACTGCCGCACGTCCTTGCTTCCAATCTTTATCAGGATGTCGCCTACGGCCACACGTCGTAGACCGGCACACGTGCTTTTGCCCGTACGTTTCGTAATGAGGACGACGGCGAACCTTGCCTGATTGTGCCTCACGCACCGTGAAGCCAAACGGGCCATCCATCCATTGAATCTGGTAGTACGCGTCTTGAATCAACCCGAAAGCGAACTCGCTTCCTCAACTTGACTCCCTTTCTGGCCTCTCGCAGTGCTTGTCG